ACTTAGAAAAAATTAATTATTTTGGTATTTGTTTTCATTTTATTATTTCTATGAAATGTTTATAAGTTTCACTACACAAATATGTACAACTTTCTTAACTGTGCACTTCATTGATATTTTCTACGGATTTTACACGTTTGGGTTCAATTGTAAAATATATAAAATAAATGAAGTAAACTTCCGAAATAAAGAATTTTAAACTGAAATTAATGTAAGAATTTGTTATAGACATGCAATATAAACAGCACCTCCGACTCATTGAATCAGAAGAATTCATACTTAAAAATTGTTTGTTGTTCCTGAGAACAAGATAAATCGAAACATTATAAGCTTACATTACTATAGTAAATTTGTCTTCATCACCCTATACATAGTTGCATATTACACTTAACAAAGTATATGTAGGAATCGGTAGGACGCGTGCCGGCATCCTTCGATAGATGCATTAACAAAAGACGAGCGTGCGAGCAGTAAGCAACAAGGCAGTCACAGATGGACACCAGAGAGATAAGCACGTGCTCTCCTCCTGAATCCAAAAAAACGCAGATATTTTCTTTGTATTTCTTGGACTTATTTAGTATTTTACCATCCCTGTAATTATCTTATTATTATTTTTCTTTTTGTTAATAAAACTCTACAGGAGAAGAATTTGGGGGCTCAGCTGTGATCGAAGGAAGCAAAGATCGATTAAGTGATTGCGTAAATAAAATAAAATCAGAGAACTAGTTTTTTTAAAAGTCGAAATTCAAATCGCAGACAAGGTTAATCGCAAAGTAGTAAGTACGTCATAAGTATTTCTTCGGAAGTTCGTCACGATGTGTTCTAAAGGTGGTATTAACACGTGCGATAAAGAAATCGATGAAGAGGGTCCTAACGCGATGAGTGCAACAGAGCCTCGACATGCACGTACGAAAGTAATAAGTAGAATGAAAATGGGTAAGTTAAGGCAAGTGTTATCAAGATTACATTTGAAACCTAAAGGTAAGAAAGAAGAGCTCAGAAAGATGTAGTTAGAATAATTGCAAACAAATACGGGAATGGGATGAGGTGAGAAAGGGGCATAGGAAGATGATGAGTTAGGCGAGAATAGCGATAGTAATGCGTCGAGCGACTGTGGAAAGCAGAACGGTCGAGCGACAAAGAAAACAAAACAGTGCGACTCAAGTCACGAAATTTACAATAAAAGATATCGACAAAAGCCTAACATACTTTTCGGGTGATGACATTACCGGTAGAAAAATGCAGAAGTATCAACAGACCCTATAAAAGAATTGTCTAAGGAAAAGAACACTAATATAAAAAGGAATAATAAAATGGAGGTAGATCACCAGCTGTACGAGTGGAAGAAATCCCAGCAGGATCGGAAGGTCCAAAAAGAAGGCTAGTGGACGTCAACAATACAAAAAGGATATAATAGATGCCACAAAACATCAAGTGTCACAAGAAATTGCAACAAAAAAAGCCAAAATAATTTTGTTCATAGCCCACTCATGTAAACAAAAAATACTAGACCAATTTAACCTATCTGCAGGCACCTTAAATATCAATCTAGGAGATCAAATACACAATGTATTGTTTACTGTCTACACCATATTAAGACAGGCCCATAACCAAACAGGAGGGAAACTCGCAACAATAGCTGGAATGAACTACAAAAATCACAACCACGGCCGCGGATTATATGAAATCATATTCGGATAATACTTCGAGAACGAAGTAAGCGCAGAAATGGTCGAGTGTAGGAATCGGTAGGACGCGTGCCGATATCCTTCGATAGATGCGTTAACAAAAGACGAGCGTGCAAGCAGTAAGCAACAAGGCAGTCACAAATTGACGCCAGAGAGACAAGCACGTGCTCTCCTCCCGAGTCCAAAAGCGCAGATATTTTCTTTGTACTTCTTCGACCTGTTTAGTATATTACCATCCCTGTAATTATCTTATTATTTTTTTGTTAATAAAATCCTACATATATTTATAACTATTCTTGACCAAAACCTTCTGTTTCTTCAATTGCATAATTTAACTTTTCTACTAGTTGATCGTAACTTTTATATGGTGGTAAATCCAATCTATTGAAGCATGTATGCGATCTAGGTAACCAGGTATCTTTTCCTACTTTCTCTATGCAAAATCTTTGAGGGCCATTACTCCCTAAAAAAAGAAACGAATATAAATTTAAATATAAATTATTTTAATTAT